ATAAGAAGCTAAACATCTATGATGTATAAATAATCAGAAAAACAATAGAAAGTACATTAAAATAATCACAGGTAAGAAACAAAAGGGTGCATACGGAAAAAGAGATACGGTCACTGTAATATGCTCATTGCTTTCTGATGGCAAGAAAAAAATATTTTATGGTAAAAGTGACAAGAGATAATATTCAAAACTATGAAATTGATTCCATCCACAGGATAGTTAAACAAAACCCAAGATACAGTGTTAAAGACTACAATCTACTCTACATGATTTAGAAATAATAAAAAAACATTATCTGAATGGTGATGAAATTACTTGTCAATTAAACTTCCTTTAAATTTCATTAAAAGAATATATAGTAATTAAACGAGAGATGGTGCATTTTCGCTGGATGAATTATTTACCATGTACAACTATAGCATATACATAAAGATTTCTTTAGATAAATTCTAATAAAAAGATTTTAAATCAGTTAATTTGAGAAACGTTTCTACACTACAAGGATTCAGTAAAATATAGTGCATCGCTTTACCATATGTAAATAAATAGATTCTGAAGATATGTATTATTTCGAAATTCATTTCATCTAGCAGAAATCTAAATCAAGATACACAAATAAATAAAAAAAATCAGTATTGGAGATACAATCTTTGATGAAGGTGAAGCGTTCCAGTGTGCCTGATACAAAATTTACTGTAATCAAGCTCGATGGCAAAATATTACAAATCCAAAAGAGAAAAAACTCATATGGGGCATATGAAAATAAATAGAAAATACCAGATTTAACAAGTGTATAAAATTAAACAGATCAAACTTTTAGAGATAAAATATATAAAAAACACAAATGCCGATATAAGAGAGAAAATATTAAGTACAGTCATATATTTGCACATTTCACACCAAATTCTTCAGGTTTAAAATAAATACTATTGCAGAACTAACTCATGTATTGTGATTCAATTTAATGTTATAGACTTGTTAAATTATTTTGACTTAGTTAACATAACAAACATAGCACCTGAAACAAAATATTACTAGCTAAAACGCACTCACTCACATGCAAGGATATAAACATTTTTGGTATTACACCTTACAATTTTTTTTTACAATTGACTATAAAATATACAGAGCAAAACGTGACATGAACGTTTGGCAGTCACTGGTCGTAGAATTTATACTGCATTTAATAGATAGTGAAACACACAAAATCTAATCAAAGAGTGCGGAAGCTAATTAGTATTTTTTGTTATTTACCTATTCATAACGCATTCAAACCTCTCAACAATAACATAGTTATGAGACAATTTAATTTGATCTGTTTTTATCATTTAAAAAAATCCAACAGATCAGAACTAAACATATGTTAAGAGAAGAACATAATCCGTTTCTACACTCACAGAAAGTGGGTGGAGCTACTAATATTAGGAGAGAAGGGTTCTTGTCCATCCGAAAATATAATGAACAATTTCATTAATATATAATTGAATCATGAGTATTGATGTTACTGCTTTTCCTATGCTTGAATGATATGGTAATGAGAATGGGTAGTGATATAACAACAGTTAACATAAATCTAAAATGATTCGTTTCAGCTTCTATTAAAATCCGTGCCGTTAATACCGATGTTGAAAAGAACATTATTCCAAAGGCTGCAAGCAATTTGTAGCAGTAGGACATGAAATTGTTGGAACAAATTGAAGAAAAAGAGAGTAAAATTATGTAGAAGAAAGACAAAAGAATTATAATAATATTATCCTTTGCACTAATTCTACGGTTCCTACAATTGCACATCCGATTAACAATACCTCCTTAACGATCACACGTGATGATTTTTTAAGGCAAAAAATATACAATGTATAATGTGAAATAAACGATGATTTTAGTTTCTGCCTTCAATTATTGTACAATATCTGAAAAATCACTCTCAGTTTGCTTTACTTTGTATTTCTGGCCAAAAACAGACTTAATAATTTATTATCCCTTTCACGGTAAACCAATTTTGTGTATTTATGTACAGTGGATTAAAAAAAACAGCTATTTTTTTTTACATACAATGCATATGTGAGTACTAAGAAAAATACATTATTATTAAGGTTACTAAAATATAAATTTAGACATTGCGATATAAGAATAGAACAGTGCTTCAATGGACAAGTTGAAAATCATGATTTCGACTTGCAGTCTTTGGAACAAAGATCTGAAACAGTGACGCAATGTTCAAACTAAAGCAATGAGACGATTTAGATTTGAAATGGCCTTAGACCACATTTTTTTCCTTCCACGTTTTATATAACCATTCACATCATAGATTTGTTATTATAACTAACTGACCTTTTGTAACTTCCTGTGTATACAAACCCACCTAAGTGAATCAAAACCTCAAGGAAGTAACAAACAAGTGATTGACATGCAATTAAAGAGTAATTTTAATAATCTATACAGTATTGTAAACTTTGATGTCTGCCGTCTTATCATCAATGTAGCTACAAGTCAACTTTGAAAATCATCATTAAACTTTGTACTAACCTTTCCAGAATATCTGCCAGACGTTAGTTAACCTCGACGGAAACTAAAATTTACAGGCTCGTCAGACCAATATTCTGTGGCAAAATCTAGGCCAACACTTTTATGCATGCCGTACACGTTTCAAATCCTAAATAATGTTTGCTTCACACTATGAATTTGACAATCCCTTTATGCCGAGCAATTAATTATATTAATCTTTTCAAAGCAGTAAAAAGTTAATTATAAAATAGGATATTTTTTATCTGAAAATAAGTTTTAAATATAATATACTGTAAAATTAAATTTTCATTGATTTTTTTAAACTTAAATTTTGCAAAGGAAATCCTTGCTAAACTTGCTTAACCAATACATTACATTTTCACTCTGATATAAATCGTACATCCCAGCTTATTTTTATATAGCAGAATCAAGCAGTGAATTACGTTTAAGACAAGTGGTAGCTTGAGTCTTTGCAACTTACAGCGATTGGTCCATGGGTAGACAAACACAAATACCTTTTGCTCTCTGTGCAGGTGTACACGTTAATGAAAGAGTGATAAGGACTCAACTTCGGGTTTCTTGTGGCAAGCATCGCGTTTTATAACAAAATTACAATGCCAACAATATAAAAGATGGCCCTACGAGAACCCTCTCTGAATGGCAGTAATTATCTTTGTGATGAATACCTTAGCAATATGTTTGAAGAACTATGAATTAATCTTGGCGTCGTTTGCTAGGTACATTGGACATGTCCTGGTTAGAACATTCCAGCAACACTATAGAGCACCCGTGCAAACCCACACGTTCCTAACAGCAGACAAGACCTGAAAAGTGAAAACGTGAAAACGTTTCTGTAATCTCAAAATCTCTAAGATTCAGATATAAAACATTAAATGTACAACCAGAGAAAACACAGCATTTGCATAGTGACACTCAAAAATGTGAATAAAGGAAATTTTATTATAGTGACTATCCATCCACGGAATGCATGAGGCTTTCATTGGTTTATTGACTAGAGTGTCTTTAGGCATTACCATGATCAACAAGTAACGAGGAACACCAGCTGTCCTAAACTTTATGATGGATGAGAATGGGGAATTTAATCATTTGGGGAACTTTGAGCACATGATATTAAACATAGAGTTTGAAGCTTTACTTTACGAAATCTAATTCAATATGGACCTTGCGATTATGGGCATCTAACACGTACACAGCCTAATCGAAGCTTGTAAGATTATATACAAGTGCAATGTAAATTAAAGAGCATCTGTCAATAATTACAAGCAAAACTGTTAATGTCAAAATGTTATAAAGTTTTGCCATAGATCTCGCACTGTGGTAATCCTAAGAAAAACAACAATAGATAGGGATGTAAGATACGTAAGTCATGATTTGTGTTATTATTTGTCGTATCTACGTTGTTAAAACATATGTATGGTAGTAAATTTATACTGCACACAGAGGGGTACATTTAGTACATTACAAGGAAGGATACAGTTTAATACGTCCCACTGAGAGGTACATTTAACACGGTTCATGGAAGGGTAAATTTAATACGGCACATGGATGGGTATATTTAAATCTGTACAAGTAACAGTTACAAGTAATGTTAGCAAATATTTCGTAAAGTAAAAACGTTTAATGCTGTACATGGAGCGGTACATTTAATATGGTACATGGAGGGATACTTTTAGATACCGTTTACACATTTATTTTTACTTATCCTGGTCTATGATAGTTAGAAATGCTCAGCAGACAGACGCCGATGACTACTAAACATTCCTCATCGCCATCATCTAATTAGGACAAGTAACATTTGCGAGTAATGTTGGCAGATATTTACTACAAGTATGTCATGATATCATCACTACAGAATTTAACTCAACTTCTTGAATTTGTACCAAAAATTCCTCCTCCCCAATAAACAGTGTAAATGAATGCCAGGCACAACAATAACTTGAATGACGTTTCCGTGGATTGTCCATATACCCCTCTCCCCCCACACGTTAGCTTGTGAAGGAAAGAATATTGAAAATGAGGCTGTTAATGTGTTTGTTTGGAACAAAGACATGTGCATTTACAACAGATTGGGGGCTGAATCATTGGATTACGTTGATGGGACTGAACTTCACACCTTAAAGGCGGCCGAGTCTGGATCGTATTTATTCATCTTATGCATGTGTAAATGACGGGAAGGATACAATGATTAACGATTGATAAACGACCAGCTGCGTATTGTTACAACACTGTGTATGTGATTTTTCGTTTTAACTTAGTTTTAACAATCTTTCAGTCATGTCGCTGCGATGTCTGTCTGCAGTGTCACAGCTTATGGTAATGTCTAGCACAGGGAAATCATGCCGAAGACATGTGGCATGATTTCCCACCCGGTCACATTATCCTGACACCAGGCCGATCAGTCCTACACTAACTTCTTAATGCTGAGCGCCAAGCAAGGCAGCTTAAAATATATATTTTTTAAAAAGTATTTGGTATTACTCAACCAGGGTTCGAACCCGAGACCTCCAGCTCCTAAGGTGGATGCTCTAACTACTAGGCCACTGGAGCGGTATAGAGGACCAGGCGATGCAGTTGCATGATACATCACTAACACATGACGTTAAAGACACCACGTTTCAAAATATATGCACAAGTCCAAGACACCTAACACATCATATACACTCAAATATAATCTTGCCAATGGTCAACTGGAAATCGACCGTTGGGGACACCATGTTAATGTATCAATATCAAATCAAGGCTAGCTAAATATCATTGCATTAGAAGGTGGAAGTACTAGGTAGCAGACTACACAGCCTGACGTGAAAGCAAACAGGGATCGTTTTTACAATAATAATGTAGAATTCACATACAAATCCACGGTAGTTGCATTTCTACTCTTTTCAAGGACGCACGTATCCACGTAGCAATGTTTGGACGAAAACGAGAAAGATCGTATCAGATACCGTTCAGTGGTATAATCAGTGTGTTTCTATATCAATGTGTTGCCAGGCCTCAAGAGCGCAGAATTACTGGAGACTTAAATATTCTCCAGGAAAATATGTGTTGATTATATGGCAATTATATCAGTAATACAGAACAATTGGTTTGAAGTGTAGGTGCATTTTACACCTGGGCGCGATGAGTCTCGACATGATCTACATCCCGACCAGTTAGTTATACCACCAGATCACGCTATTAATAGAACTTTGATGGACCCTCAGAGCTGCCAACGCGAAAAAAAAAACTGAAAAAAAACCTGAATCCTAACAATAGCTGCGAGATGAAATTACCAAAAAGAACCATTTTATATGCGATATATAGACACGTATGTGTCATATCCATTGTCGTTGTTTTGGAGGAATTGCAAATACGGCAACTATCATAGACATACCAGTCGGAGTCGTTGTAGGAGCCATGTCGACAGTAGCAGGTGTGACTAGCGAAACTGGTAAGATAATTTCGTTGTCTTCGTTCGTGAATATGTGATTTTTCGGAAATTCTCACAGCCGCAAATAAGTTACTTCGGCCGAACTATCAAGCTGTTCTTGGAGGACATCAAGATAAAACGATTACACTGTTCGATACGGTGCTGGTTAAATAAGAATCCACTAACATATCCAAATACAGGTAAAGTCGTCTGGTAAAACATTCACTGAAAGCTCCTCTTCCCCAACATAGTAATATCCGTTATTTCAACGCTGAAAAAGTATGTAACACACAAAAAAATTACCGCGGAAATACAAAAGCTGCATGGTTCCATACCTGCAAAGGTTTCCAAAAATATACGTAATCAGTTCAATCAATTTATACTAAATACAGAATGCTCTCAAATATTGCCCAGATGTAAAAGTGTCTGGTATCAACCAAAAAGATCTGTAGCCTATAATTGATAGTATTAAGTATTCGATCATATGGTCTTCTACTAAACACTGAAAATGTGAAATTCAACAAGTTTTGTAAAATTGAACTAAACATTGTTTCCTTAAATTAAAAAGTGAACACTACAAACTTACTGTATGGTGAATGATATCCTATACAGTCAAAAATGTTCTATAACAAGTCCAAAAGTATCGTATGATCCAAAGGAATTTTAGTGGTAATGCAAATGAAGTTCACTAAATCGTGCTGATGTGCCAAAAGTATTAATGTATCACAATGATATAATCAAAAATATCTTTAAATGAATTCACAATAATTCAATACAGCTGTAAATCCGATAATTTTAAGCACATTTTAATTGCAATGAAAATTGTGAGAAAAAAATCCGCTCAAACGAACCCAGTCGTTAATAAAAGTACATCTGGAAAATCATTTTATAGCCATTAAATAAGCTCTTCATATTGGTAACGATTTCATCAGTGTCTAGACGCTCCGTCATAAAGCTAATGGGTTTTATATAGCATTTTATAGTTCTATGAAATTGATTATAAATCTTATGGAGTGTTTTATAGAACAACGATTTGGCTAAGGAGACAAACTGCTGGCAAAATATATGACAAAGGAAATATGGGAAGAAATGACTTATCAGGTGGATTCTTGTTCTGCTAGAGAGGTGCAGATCAATAATAACTAATACCACAGTTTCATAGAGAGGTGCAGATCAATAATAACTGATACCACAGTTTCACAGCGGCTGTGTTGATCTGACTGGTTCACCCCGTCTGAACTTCGCTTAGTGACTCACGCTGGTTACATTCTAAGATCCACGCTAGTCTAAACATCCTCAGTATGAAAACGGTGAATCCCGAAGGGGTTTCGTGACTAGGAATCGAATACTGGTGGGATGGGTTCAATTAATATAGTAAAAAGATTCTCTCATAGGAGTAACTTGCGTATCTTTTGACTAGCATGCAATTAAGTGACATTTTACACGTCATTGTGTTCACTGCAGAGCAGGAAATTTTAACAATCTATAGTTATGCAAATTTTGACGTCAACCTTTTTATTATGACTATAGCTTGTAACATTTCTAAACAAGTCAGCTGTGAAACGCATCACTGACATTGGCACTATTTGTTCGAGCTAGATGGAAGATAACTATTTAATGCCACCATGTGACTATTGATTGAATATTGAATTATCATCCATAAATAATAGCCAAAACCTGTATCGTAATTGCAAATAATTATCACCATAATTTAATCAATTTATTCGTCAGTGAATATTGATTTTTTTTATTTGAGTGTTGTCCATTCACAATAACAGTGGGTTGCTCTAGAAAAGCATTATCATCTTAAAACTCTAATTTTATATACTACTTATCAAGAAACGAAGCACCCAAAGTCACCCACACAAACAACTCCCTTTATCCTAGTGTGCCACGCGTTTATGCGGTATTGTTGAATCCTTGCATGAAAAATGCTGTACGATATTTTGACCCTTTCTATACAAAAATTAGTAGATGGATATATATTCATACGAGAGAAATAATATATTTTTTCTTTCACTTGAACTGGTGTTCAATTTGCAGTCTCATCAATTTTTAACCAGGCACAATCTGTCCACAACATATTTAAAGAATAATGATCATTTTCTATTTCATCGCCCTGCCAAAACAGCATGAAGATAAAATAGAACCAGTCCAGCCAACACCGCCCACCCTGAATAACACCCCACAGACACACACTTCAATGCGGAATAGAGAAGGACAAAAATATAATGCACACCTTATTTTTTCCTTGAGATGCTGTTAGGCAACACGGTTTTAGCTTAAAGAAAATAGATCTTGACTAATAGGGTGAATGAATGATTCTGCGTTTATCAAAGCAAGCAGGGACTTATTCGCGTATGTGTGATTTCAAAGTGCCTTAATAGGTCAATTGTTCTAATCAAATGCTATCTTAGGTGCGAGGACCAGGAAGTTTTGCCCAAACGTACTATCAGTGATAAATAAACTAAATGAAATGAACAGCTATGTTTGCCTATAGTATGGTTGGATTTGGAACCCTATTATAAACATGGTTGAATCAAACTTAAGCTGAAAATGAACTCAAAATCAGTTGAAAACAGATATGACTAAGCACACGTACCTAGCAACTCAACATTGTTTTTGGAATTTACGGGTATAATAAATATTAGTTTCAGCAATTTGGGTTCGTTGATAGTGTTGCCTAGTTACATTTCTAGTATGCAAATGCATATCTTACTTCTGACCAATCTGATTCAGCAATGAGATTAGCTTTTGCATTCATATATATAATGATCTATCATGTACATTTCTCATTGATGGTAAATCTTGATATTCTCATAAGCGCAATTTTTCGTCACGGAAATCATGTGTGCCCGCATATAGGGGCAAGTGTGAGATTTTCCACTCCACCCCCAGGTATTTCACCTATCAACATATTTTGGTCTAAATAAGTAAAAAATTAAATGCTGATAACTACATGTTTGCCACTCCACCCCCACCCCAATATTTCTCTGTCACACTTGCTGGAAATCTATATAATTTCGATCCCAAATTTCAATTTGATGCTAAAACAAACCCAAACCAAAATTCACTTAAAGCTTGCACTTTAGCCGCTTAATTCCTGACACATACGGGATTAAGATTAGCAAGAACTGTAGTAGATTGATCTGTAGCACAAATTTCGCAAAATAACTTGATTTTTAAACAGTATATTCCTTTTAGAGGAGACGGGTGTGGAAATTGTGCTGTGTTTCGCATGCACATTAAATTTGTAAATATATTGAATCTTGCTTTGCTTTTATACGCTTACATGCTATAGTAAATACCCTTGGTATGTTTAGTAGATTTTGTGATAGCTAGAAAAATGCAATAAATGCAGAGAAAACAAAACTTATTGTATTTGGTTCAAGAGCAGATCACGCATACAAAATAAAGATAAAGTATCCCCATATTTATGTTGTAAATTAATTTAAATTGTTAGACCTTTTATTAAAGAAAGAGTTCTCCAATGGGTTAAAACATTCATAGCTGGTACATGTATGCATTTATTTCAAAAGCTTACACAAAGTTTAAATTTGCCTGTTGATTGTCAGCTGAAACTGAGTGATCCGATCATTATACGTACCGATTTTAACAGGCTTATGAAATTTGAAGATTTGTTAGAAAATATATAGTTGGGGGGAAAAAAGCCTCGAATTAAGTTCAAAACTGCAAATCATGGGTTTCTTCTTGAAACTGCTAGATGGGTTATCGTTTCTAACGATTATTACACTGTCAATGACAAGAAAAGAGTAATGAATATCATTATCGTCTGTCATTTTCACATTTTTAGGCCTAACATTTATATCTAAAGGCAGTTAATGAAAAGAGGTAACATAAGAATCTTGAAAAAATGTTTTCAGGTTTTCAGATTATGTTTCCGTTAAGCAATAAGTAATGATATCATACTGTCAAGATGTGGAAAATTTTACTGATACTTCTTGGTTCATGTATACACATATTTTCCTAATAGTTAATTCGTAGCCAAGAACACCTGGATAATGGCAATAAGTATTATGCAAGATTTTTACTATAGGGCTGATTATGTACAAAAAAAACTGCCTGTATGTTGTGTAAACTTTGCGTAACGACCCATTCGCTGTTAAATTCAAAGAGAAGTA